TGTAAATCAAGGATTAAATGTAATTACTATAATCTTTAAAAAAAAAAAAAATAAATAAATAAAGCCTGTGGTTCATCTCCTAACTCGGGAACTCCATGTCCACAATAATTTAACAGAACCTGATGGGGGCGGTGAGATACCGGAGTTATTATCATCTGATGGTGTAGAGCTATCGGGGTTGAAATCAGGAAACGATGGTGATGGCGGTGAGAAGGAAGACGAAAACGACGACGACGACCATGAGGAGAATGAGGACGAGGACGAGGACGAGGACGAAGATGGATTGCCCGGTGTAAATGAAGAGTGCTCGGAAGAAGTTTCTTCATAAGTTGAACTCATTTCTCTCTCTCTCTCTCTCTCTCTCTCTCTCTCTGTCTCTAATGATATAAAAAGCAGTGAAATTCCGGCACAGATTAAACACCAAATATTGTCGCCGGAAATTTCACCAGCTTTCATACAAAACCCTGAAAAGAAAAAAACACAAAACACCAACCTAATGGCTCGCTGATTCCGCCATGACAACAAAGTGTGGGGAGAGAGGATTAAGATTAAAGAAGGGATTAAAGACTAATTACCTTTTGGAGAAAGAGGGAAGAAGGGGGGGAAAAATGAGCCTCAAATTGAGAATCCCTTGAGAGAAAATTAGAGGAGACCCCCTTTTGGATTGCGTAATCCAATGGTCTCCTACATACAAGCTGGATTAGGCATTGTTTTTAATTTCCTAATCCCAAGTTTAGTTGGAGTTTGTTATTAATATTAACCATTTACACCACTTCTGGTTGACCTCTAACCCTTCTTTTTTTAACTAACTAACTCCTTGTAATCATTATTTTTGGTCTCCTGTTTTCAAGCTTTTCTTTACACTTCGCATCAAACACAGCCTCAAAAAAATCCAAAAAACCTTCTTCATTTGCACTACGTTTATTTTTAACATATCTTTGTCGGTATTTTGGAATATTAATTTCTCCAGACTTTTCTTAAATTATGGTGACATGTTTTCAACTCTTTTCTTTATGTATGCATTTTTATTAATGGAATGTTATTTATACAAGGTTTAGTATTATTTTTATTAATTTAATTTTAAGATTTTAAAGTTACAAAATAATATTGGTCTTATTTTTTTGGGCAAAGGACAACAAACATGACCAACTAAAAGAAAAGTCTTTTGTTTCAACCCCTCGACGGCCACTATATAGTCGGTCCTATCCACTTATTTCCACAGAAAGAAACTTCACCAAACCCAACCAACTCACTCGTGTTTCTCAAAATTTCTTGTAAATCATGATCCTCCGGCGGCATCCTCTCCACCGGACACACCCTCACAAGGCTATTCACGTACGGCAGAAACCGCCCCGCACTGGCACTGATACTGGCATTGGCACGATCTGGCGGATCGACTAATTTTTTCACAACCTCCCCTTTCCTTTTTTCCACATCATACAGAATCACATTGCTCCCTACAAGAATCATCGCCATGCCATCACTTACACACGATAATACTCTAACCTCTCCATCAAAATCCTCTCCCAAATAACTCCCAACATCGAGAGGAAATCGATGCTTCAACACCATGTCATGACCAACATAAATGCCAAGCGAATAAGCACCCGCTTCATCATTCTCACTGTTACAAGTTATTACCATAGCATAGCACATCTCTCCACGGATCTCCGTTATAGCCCCATGGCCGGGAGGGAGAGGGAGCTGAATCTCCCCATATACTTCATATTTCAAATCAAACCCCAGAATGATGCCGTTTGACGTCTCCCAGTACACGGTATCACCAATACAAAATCCGTCCCCTTTGAACATCAAATCGCCATCGCCAGCATAGAAGTATTGGGAGTCAGAAATTTTCCAAGTGTTGGTCCTAGAAGAGTAGATCTCAAAGTAAACAGCTCTAACGGAATGAAAGGGGACAGCACAGACAATCTGGAAGTGGGATTCAAAGTTGAAAGTGGAGGGAGTGAAAGCAAGGGCAATGGCAGAGACATCTCCATGAAACAGAGAGGGCTCGGGGAGCTGTCTCCATTCCATAGTAGTGGGGTTGCATATGAAATAGATGCTGTCCTGGAAAGTGCTTTGGCAGCAGAGGAGGCCGTTGGAAGTGGTTCGGATGGAAGTGGATTCAGGGAGGAAGGAAAGGGAAGGGAATGGGACGCCATGGGAGTGAGGGTCGAGAGGGATGAAGAAGCAGTCTTGGCTGTTGGATTGGGAGAAGAAGCCGGAGATTTTGTTGAAGTGAATGGCTTGCTGGTGGGCGAGGAAGGGAGAAGAGATCCATTGGTTCCAGTCTTTCGAGACGGATTTGAATCTGCACAGGGATTTGGCTGGGACGAAACGAAGTACGTCCGTCTTTATCACGTCCTGGATGCCCATTTTGTCCTGTAACATAACGATATCATACTCAACATATCAGAATCAGTGAGAAATATGAAGCATTGCTTGGTTTGAAATTTTGGTTATGATGCATGTAAATATGATGTGTTTGGTTACTGTTCAATATATTATATTATGAATCACTATTTAAAAAAAAGTTAATCATGGTTTAATAATATAATTTACAAACATACAAAATTGAAGTTAAAACAAATCAATCCATCAATGCATTAATGCATCAACGCAAAAAGTTAATCAATGATTAATATGATTATACTAGATTAATATATTGGTATAATCTACTAAAATATGCTCCCAAAATGTTCTTATGTATTTGAATTCTATACTACAATTCTATAACAACATCCTATTTTTTAAAAGTAAATCTAATATCAATTTTTAGAAACAGTTTCTAAGAGACGATAAAATTTGATTTGAATCCGTTCACTCAAAACTCTGAGACTAATTCCTATTAACATATAAAGAAGGATCAAAGGCGCAAGAATCAAAGTACAGAAAGTGAAGAAGCAAAAACGAAGAAACACGAACCTGGCAAGAACAGAGTCGCTCTGTTTAATGCAACAAATTCCGAGTTCTTCGCGCTCTTCCGGAGAATCAAAATGAAATAACGACGGAGGAATTGGAATCAGATTCGAAATGTAACTGCGAAGAATTTGAGAATATATAGGATAGTTTGGGAAATGATCGGTGATCAGGCGATGAAAATCGGAATCGTAGAGCGAGAGAGAGGCGATTATGGCGGAGAGAATCGGACGGGTAATTAATAACAAAGAATACCGTGAATAAGAAGAATCGTCGCTTTTATTTGGCTGTGCGATTTCGTCAAAGTCTACGCGGGCCGTGACTCAGGCTTGCGGGCGAAGCAACCTAGAAAATGGCGCTCATCTGCAGCGTCATGACATCACCGCTGGATTGTTGTTCGTCTGTGCGCAACTCTAACCCCGAAACGCAAAGCAAAGCAAAGATTCAGAGTTAGTTGACTTATCCCAAAAATTAATTTGTGTTCAACTTAATTTATTTTTAATTATTTTTTTTATATGATACATACATATGTTCATTTTATCATTTTTTTAAATTATTTTGTGTAACAACTCTTCAACTAAAATTTTTAAGTTGTTGGAATAATTTTTTTAAAAAATATATATTAAAATTGATAACGACTGAAAAAAAATAAATATTTTACGTATTAATATTTTATTTTTATTAAATAAATAAATAACTTGAATAACAAGAATACATTATTTAAATGTTATCAAGAGTTTTATCAAATTATAAATATTATCTATGAATTTTTACTAAATCATAATAACTATATTCTATTTAACAGTTTTTAATATTATTGTCGTGATGGGAAGAAGTGGAGATGAGGACTGAAATTTCTTTGGATTTTCGCCGTCATCCAAAGGAAGAAAACAAAAAACATAAAAAGTCGTTATTGCCGGTTATAGACCATTCTCAAGAGAGCCCAACAAGAGGTTTTTTTTTATTTATTATTTTTATTTTTAAGAAACTGATTAAATAAAATTATAAAAGTTCTAGTACCAAAATTATAACTTAACCTAACTTTAAAAAATAAAAAACGCTCCAAACTTATCCAAAATGTTACAGTTTCAAAAACATTTTTGAAAACGAAAAAACGAAAATATATTGCAAATATTTAAAAGAGAAGAGATAAAATCAGTGTAATTCAAATTCTAAAATCATTTATTTGAATAAAATGTGTAAGAAATAATAAAGCAAATGGGAAAATCCCGAGACCTGGAAAAACCGGGGTAAGCGGGGAGCAGACAATAAACCTACAAATGCGATTGCTTGTTCTTTCTTTTAAGATCAAAAGCAACCTCTCCCTTCGTACTTTTCAATTTTTTACGTCACAATTAACAGTGTCTATAAATAGTAAAAAGTTAAAAAATGAGGATGAAAGTAACTTCCTTTCACATACAAAATCTTTCCCCCCATCCCATTCAACTTTACTTTTTTTTCTTCTTCTTTGCATTAACCTTACAATCTGTTAGGTACATTGTAAGACTGTATGACGTTGATGCATCACAATAATGGAGGGGAGAAATTTGAGTGTAAATAAGGTAAAAAAATTTGGTAAGGTAGTGAAATTTGTTAGGAATTATGAATCTATATAATGGTAAGATAATGCCAACTAGTCTCCTGATTTCTTAAAAAAGATTTCATATAAATTGAGATATATTTCTTATTTTTTTAATTAGTCCATGTGTAGCTTGATTTTAACCGACAAACAAAAAAAAAAAAGAAAAAAAAAGAAAAAGAAAATAAAAATGAAATGGTCAAAAAGTGAAAAAGACACAAATTGAGAACAAAACATGATTTTGTTTCCTTGGATCCTCACATTGCATTATTAGAATACTCACATTGCATTATTAGAATAGCTTTAATGGATTGACTTATTCTTTGAAATTATATGTCTTTTGATATACCTCTTATCATTGAATGGGGAAAAATAATTTTGGCTACTCCTAAGTAGGAACCCCACCGATTGCCTAATGCCTATTACCAACCCTTTTCTTTTCCCCTTCAATATAGTTTCTTTATTTCTTGATTCTTGTCATAATATATAATATATATATATATATGTGTATTAGACTATGAGGACAAAGAGACAAAACCATACAGAGAGTGTGTAAGCAGATGATGATGGCAAAGCAATTCAGACTTCTCCGAATCCCTTCCTTCCAGTGTTGCCGTTCCAGCGACATCTCCGTCGTCCCCACTGACCCACCACCTCCCCCCTCGCCCTCATCAAAACCCCACCATTATTCCTCACTCCGGCGCCACGTTTCCTCCGCCTTCAGAACTGCCGCCTGCGGCAGGAGATCACTCTCTACCAACTCTGACGATGACCAAATTACCCAATCATCCCCAAAACTTCCCCGGCACGTGCCACCCACGCCCCTCCCTGAATCATACGACGACGCCTTGCCTCTGCCGAAGCAACAACGACGCAGGAAGAAGAAATCGAAATCAACCACACTCGCACGGCTTCGAATCAGCACCTCTTCGACAGAGAGCGGGCTATTCAGCAGCGAATCGTTCGACGAAATAGACGAATTAGAAGAAACCGAAACCCTAATTTCTTCATCCAAAACGATCTCCACTACCGACGACGACGATTCCTCCTCCGAATTCAATCCTCAATTGGAAACCATACGCGAGAAGCCGTACAAAGGCAGGAACAAGATCAATTTGAAGAATAAGAAGAAGAAGAAGGAGAAGCGGCATCGTAGCAGTAATCGACGGCAGAAACCAAGGAGGATGATCAAGACATCGCCGTCGCCAGAAAGCGAGTCGCCAGCGAGGCTTTCGGTGTTCCAGAGGCTGATACCATGCACAGTGGACGGGAAGATCAGAGAGAGCTTCGCGGTGGTGAAGAAATCGGAAGATCCGTTCGAGGATTTCAAGAGATCGATGATGGAGATGATAATGGAGAAGGAGATGTTCGATGAGAAGGATTTGGAGCAGCTTCTTCACTGTTTGTTGTCATTGAATGATAGAGAACACCATGGAATTATAGTGGAAGCTTTTTCTGAGATTTGGCAGTCCTTGTTCTGTAACAAATCGACAAGTCGGACAAGCTTCTGAATCGATCGTTCCCCAGTTCTACATGTCGGAACTCCCACTCTGTTTTTTCCAAGGTAAAAGTCAGTTGTGCAAATATGAATGATGATTTTGTTGCCTTTGGATCCCCACATTCAATTATGAAATCTTCTAATTTACATTTCATAAATTTTAGCTTCTTTCATGCTTTTTTTATTTTTATTTTTTTAAATTAAATTTAGTTTCTATTATTTATAAAGTTCTTTCATTATATTGTTTTATTTATGACTACTAATTTAGTTGATAATGAAATTAGAATTTCTGACCAAAGTTAATCATAATTGAAATTTTAAAATATGAGAAACTCCTACCAATGATTTAAACAATAGATATAATTAAAAATTAAAATACTTTAAACAATCAAGATTAAAATATATGCTTAAACTAATTTTTTAGAGTTTTTTTTAGGTATTCATATGAATTTTTTCCAGTTGAATTTTTAAAAAATTAAAAGTTTAGATCACTAAGTGGGTTTATTTATTTATTTGTTTATTTTGTCAATCCAACCAATGGGATGAAAGTTACAAATATTTGATGTTTGTTACCAATATTAGAGATGGATTGTAACTGCTAATGTTTAATATTTTAGTTTTGTGAGTTTTTAATTATTAACATAACCATGTAAGATGAATAATTATAATTTTTTAAAATAATTAATAAAGACTAATGACCTTTATTTGTGGGTTGCATTGGACTAAGTTGTGAACCTTGTTCGAATTACTAAGAGTTTACAACTCAACTTTCTAATTGTTCGTATAAACATTTTTAAAAAGAAAAAGAATAATTTAAAAAATACAAACAAACTTTGTATTTTATCTATAAAAAAAAAATTAAATTCTATAAAGTTTAAATAATACTCTTAAACTTTAAAAAAACATTTTAGACCAATTTTTGAACCAGGTTACAAATTCAAAATTATTTATAAAATAAAGTATTATTTATATATATATATATATATATATATATTTTTTTATTAAGAGTATTCTTAAGTTTTTATCTTACCTTAGAAGAATATTTTTTTAGAGTAAAATTTCCATCATCGTCTTCACTCAAATAAAATCAATTAAATAAAATTAATTATGCGTCAAATTTGTATTAATGTATGAATACTTTTATTTTCAAAGGAAAGCACTGATTCAAAGCATTCGTATGATTTTGTTTATTCAGACTTTCGATGCCATTAGTTATTAGGATCAAATGGGCCCAAAAATAATAGGGTTAATTTTTTTTAAGTATAATGAAAAATAAACCAACTCTTACCTTTAAATTTAAAAGAAAAAATATCGATTTATACAAATTTTTTAATGTAATTAAAAGTCAAAGCTTTACAAACTTAAATTCGATTGAGTGCACACACAATCAATAATCAAATACATCTCTCAAAAACTAATCCACCTTATTGTTGATTTTATGTGAAGCTCTATTTATTTTTAAAGTAATCATTCATTTTATTATTCATTAAGCAATTATTTTTATTTTTATTTTCTAAATTTTGTAGAGGGTTGTTTTTAATAAATAAAAATGTTCTAAATCTAACTAAATTAATTTAATCCAAACTAAATGAATTTATAAACCTCATAGTTTTTTTTTTTTTTTAAATATCGGGGGTCTATTTAATTTGTGATTTTTTTTTCATAAAATCAATTGGTTATTTAACCTAGTTTGTATTGCTATAATCTCGCTTCCATTTGTTAGGGCCAGTGGCATTTTCGAAATTACATCAAGATTTTCAAAATAACCTTCCCTACCCAGCACTCGTCTTCTTCAGCACAGCCCTCTTAACACGGCCGCCCATTCTCACTTCCACTTCTCGGTTTCTCCACTGACGGCGGTTCGCTATCTCTCGGCCGTCTCTGCAGTCAGTCTTCTTTACATACTCTTGATTTTTTCTACCTTTCTTCGAAGTTTTCTGATTTTTTTGTTCTTATAGATTTTGGTCTTCTCTACTAACATAGCTACGTATATGTATTGATATTTTTCCAACCCTAATGCAAATCTCGATGCACAGAGATTGAACAATGGCGACTGGAACAGAACAGCGTCAACTCACGCAGAAGGAGGCGGACATTCAGATGATGTTGGCCGCTGAGGTTCATCTAGGTACTAAAAACTGCAATTTCCAGATGGAGCGATACGTTTTCAAGCGCCGGAATGATGGTACGTTGTTAGTAATTTCTCATTTAGACCTTCGTAGTTGGTTAACACCGTAAAGGATTTCCTATAGGCGATTAGAAGAAAGCCTTTTTTTCCTCTCTATCCTCTCTGTTTTCATCATTGGCGGTGGTTTTAGATTGGACTAGATATAACGGGTGTGGCTATTATTCTGAACAGTACTTCAAACCTTAATTTTTAGAACGAATCTCTCAGGACCAGAATGGGATCATAATTTCATCAATAGTCACGAATTATTCTTTCTTTCTCTCTATGTAGGAATCTACATTATTAACCTGGGTAAAACATGGGAGAAACTTCAGATGGCTGCTAGAGTTATTGTGGCTATCGAGAATCCTCAAGACATTATTGTTCAGTCTGCCAGGCCTTATGGTCAGAGAGCTGTTTTGAAGTTTGCTCAATACACTGGTGCTCATGCAATTGCTGGGAGGCACACCCCTGGAACATTCACCAACCAGCTTCAGACCTCATTCAACGAGCCACGTCTTCTGATACTTACTGATCCTAGAACTGATCATCAGGTGCTTCAACATTTTTAAGAATCAATACTAGTTTGTGATTATAAGTTTGAGTCCAATCTCTTACCAAATTTAGATTTATTCATGTTTATTACCCTAGTTAGTTATAACTTGTACCCGACTTCACTTGTTGTTGCTGCTATTTATGTTGCCTGGTTGGTTTCTTGCTGTTGTTGCAGCCCATCAAGGAAGGTGCCCTTGGAAACATTCCTACAATTGCCTTTTGCGACACTGATTCACCAATGCGGTATGTTGACATTGGGATTCCAGCTAATAACAAGGGGAAACACAGCATAGGATGTCTATTCTGGCTTCTTGCGAGGATGGTTTTGCAAATGCGTGGAACAGTTCGTCCTGGGCACAAATGGGACGTGATGGTAACTTCTCAGTTCTATTATCTATCTGAACTTGAGAAATTGCATTCTGACATGGAATTTGAAATGATACTTGATTGTTAAAACGTAAATCAAAAGCTTGGAATGAATATCGAAGGTGTGTTTGTTCTGTAGGTGGATTTGTTTTTCTACCGGGAGCCTGAGGAGGCAAAGGAGAAAGAGGAAGAACAGGCTGTTGCGCCACCAGATTATGGCATTGCAGATTTTGGTGCTGCTCCGCTGGTAGCGGATCGATGGGTTGCTGATGCTCAGTGGGATGCTCCTGATATGGTTCCAGCTGCTGCTGCTGCTGCTGCTCCAGTTTCTAATGTGGAGTGGGCCCTAGAGCCAGGTTGAATCCGAGCCTTTTGTTTTAGGCTTTATTCTAATGCCTATAATATTCCCATTTTGGTCTAAGTTTTGAAGTGGTACCTACTACTTCCAATCATCTTGTAGTTTGTTAGCCATTGGTGTGATTTTCCAGTCCCAATCTTTTTTATTTTGTATTTTAGACTTCATTGACCAGGAATTTTAAGATGCAATCAGTTAGGTTGGTCGTCTAATTTAGTTCAACAGAATGAAGGTTAAGATGTTTTTAATGCTCATTGTGGGTATTTTTTTTTTGTCATTCGCCGTTTGCAGTCGCTCTTGGAGGAGCAGCAGATGGATGGGATGTTGCAGAAGCACCACCAGCACCTTTACTGGAAGCTGGTGCACCTCCAGCCGCCAGTTAGTAATGAGGGAAGCCTTATCTCTCGCTTGGAATTTTGATTCGTTGATTTGAGTTTTGCTTGTTCATTTAGGAGCACCACCAAATTAGTTGCGCGTAAGGGGGCCTGAACACTCGTAGTACCTATCTTTTCTCGTTTCAAAATTGAGTTGTGTTTTCTTTTCCTAGTCAAGTTTTAGATTTTGATGTTTGAATGTTTTTTTTTTACTTCGTGGGTACTTTGGTACCAATTATTTTATGAGAAATTAAAATTACTCAAAGATTGTTGATCAGATGCAAACTCTCTGCATCAAGTTCTACTGAATTTCTCCCCAGTTATCAACAATTTGTTCTATTGCCTGGAAATAAGGTATCAGATTTATATTTTATCAACAATGTTCCTAAGCCCAAATACAATAGCAACATGAGAAATCAACATTTCAAAATCCCCATAAAAAACGCCCAATTCCCCATCTAGCTAGAGAAGAAGCTCCGAAGAAGTGAAACAATGGGGGCTCTTCAACTCCATTCTATCTCTCCTTCCTTACATGTCTGCCTGGAGCCGGAGCCATCGTGCGTCCACCATAATCCGTCGAGGGCCCTTGGCGACCTCAACATTTCGCAGTCAAGTCCGATTGGAAAGCTCATTCTAAAATTTTGGCACCAGAGAGTACAGGTCAAACTTCAAAATTGGTTTGTTGGTTTTGTTTGTTTGGTTGGTCACTTCTTTTACTGGGTCTTTGAATTTGATTTGTTTTTTTTTTTCAGAAGAGATGGCATCATCACTCACAGAACCTTCTGTGGTGTGTTGACAAAGGAGGCCACCGGAGGTCTGTCTTTTCGGACGGCGGCGGAGAATCCTTGTCTGGAGTCCGATCCTCAAGCTTCGTCCGCCTGCTCCCCCTCCTTCAGCCGCCCCAACAGCCCATTCTCCATCCGACTGATGCGATATCGTCAATCTCGTCCATTCAGAAAAAAAAGGTAAATACAATTAGATGCTCTTTTTTTTCAAGTCTTTTTAATCTCGAATTTTGAATGGAGTTTCATTATTACATTGAGATTATTTATAAATTTTAAAATATATATTTTTATTTAGAGTTGTATTAGATTGGATTAGTTTGAGAGGGAATAAATAATTATAAAATTATATAAATCTGAAATAAATATATCCAAGTATAATAGTATTGTAAGAAAGAATATATGTTTTTATAATCAACCATAACCCCAAATTTATAAGTTTTAGTTTATTTAAACCAAACTAACTCAAATAAGTTTATAACTCAACGAAGGTGGATAAGTTAGAAAAGTTAGATAAGTTAAATTAATGGACTCTATTTTAATTTTCTTAATTTTTATTATTGAGTTGAGTTTAATCCCTATATTTTTAACATATTTATTCATAATTTTCACTAATACTGGTTAATTTTCTATTATTTACTTTATTCTTTTAAATTAATCCATTTTCACTAAAATATCATCCCTATATTAAGAAAAGTATATATCACAATCATTTTAAATTAATTTATATTAAAAAACAGAAAAAGTTACAATTTGTATTTATTTAAGTTTTTTCTATCTGTTCTGAAATTTTGTGAACCTTACGCAGAAAACTGGAGGATGTTTTGAATTGGCGCTCGACATTCATTTCGGAGCATCTTTGGCGATTGTTTCACTTCATAGGGTTTATCCTCGACCAATTACTTGCTGATTTTCCTTCCCATGCGACCGATTTTCCTTTATTAGGCGTTACTTTTGCTAATCTTCAGAAGATGCATTTTCCTTCAAGTTCGCCCGGCTCCTCATATTAACTTCAACCTTCGACTCGCTCTCTCGTCCATTATTTCCAGAAACCGGTACTTCTTTCTTTAGATTATTGTGTTATCTCCAAGTTTCATGGTGTAAACTTGTGCATTTTCTTGAAACCCTGTCCTGTGGTCGAGCGACACCCAGGAGATAATCACAGTGGAATTTCTTATTCTTTTCTGTCAACTGTTTATAAACTTCATATTTCGGACGTTGGGTAATCTTGCTTGGTTGCATCTCCAAGTTAATTGAAGTGTTTATGGCGTTAAAACGCTACAAAAGAATGCAACACCGATGAGTTTGACAACCAGGGGTCGTCTTTGTTTGATGGGGATGCTGGTACTGCATTAGAATTGAATTAATTACTCTTGGAGAGATTCCTGAGGCTGCGTTGACAACTGGCCGACAAATATTAGCCGTATTGCGTCTCTCTTCATTTCACCTGGTACAGGTAAGCATATGGATTAACTAATTGATTTCATGTTCCATATCAGGGTTGTTTTGAGCTGCATTCCATGGACAGATTTTCAGATTAAAAGTTTGTTGCATTGAATGGGTGTAGATGAATTGAGAATGATGAAACTTTACAACCTTTATGGTATTCTAGGTTCTACGTTGATTGAGAGAGCCTCTGACAAAGCATTTTCTGAAAGGGACTAAGATGCAAACAGGATCTGTTTTAAGGCTTAATACTACTACTATGTATTCTGGTGTTGTGAAAGCAATAGCTGCCGGACATCGAAGTGGACTGTGCTATATCAACAATTTGCTGCGTGGACGAGGGGAATTGTTGACCAAGGATTGCAGGTTGTCTCATTCCTTGCCATATTCTACATTGTTGATATCAAATACCTTGCATTTTTCACCAAGATTCCATCCCAAAAGAAAATCAATGGTTGCTTCTAGTGCTACGTTTTCAGAGATGCATGTGTCAATAATTTAATAAAAAACCATGGAAAATCTCTAGAGATTGCAACACCTGCGGGAGTGTTTAACCATAGGAGTCGTAGGAATTTCCAGAAAGCTTGTGTGGGTTTGAGAAGGAAACAACCATCCTATAATTGTCTAATCTCTCGGAACAGTTCAATTGATGTAAAGCGTATGAAGGACAACTACTTTCTGCAAATTGGGTTGACCAATCTTCATGCCTTGTCTCATGCATGCCATGCTGCTGGGACTGATAATTCTCCAGCTTTTGACAGCAACTCTCGTGATGAACAGTTCACAAGTTCAAAGATTTTGTCAAGCAAGTATGTTTTCTATTTTTTTTTCTCTTAGTTCGATAAGTGTTAGTTGTAGGAGCTTTTAATTGTATATTGGTATATCTTCTGTCAATTTAGTAGTTATAATTGGGTTAGGACTATTTAAATGGTAATGTTGAAATCCTTTGGCCGATCTTTGACAATATCATTTTGCGATTTATCATCGGCCTTATTAGCTATGGCTCTATACCTTGATATGTATTGATTGTCTTATTCTGTAGACTGTTAATTGTAATTAACCACGGTTGAGTTGCAAATTTGAGTGTTTGTTGAGCTTATGGTCATGTTTCCTCTCTGTGCTACGTCCTTATCTATATCATGTTGTCTTCTCATTATTGGAAATTTATTTTCTTGTTTTTTTTTTCAAACTACACTTTATTAGTTCATTAGAATTTATTTCAAATTTGAATGGCCTCTTAAGAAACGTTTAATTCTATTGAAATAAGGATTTTTCCTATAATTAAGTGCTTCATACAAACAAGGGACCTTTTGGTTTCTCGACTATTATTGATACTGATATTGAGTTTAGCTCATTCTACGTTTTTTGCTTCTTTCAATTTATAGGTCATTCTTTCTCCTGTGTCCTGTATCATAAACCTCTACTCATAAAGATATTTTATCTCCCTCACTAACTGTACTTTGACATGATTTGTTCGATCTCTAGGGATTTATTAGGTGAAAGGACTTTGAAGCTGCTTTCAGGATCATGCTATCTTCCCCATCCAGCAAAGAAAGAGACAGGAGGAGAGGATGCTCATTTTATTTGTGTGGATGAACAAGTAATTGGTGTTGCAGATGGTGTTGGTGGTTGGGCAGATGTTGGTGTTGATGCTGGGGAGTTTTCTCGTGAACTTATGTCAAACTCAATAAGTGCAGTACAGGAGCAGCCTAGGGATTCAGTTGACCCTGCCAAGGTGTTAGAGAAAGCTCACTCAGTCACTACAGCTAAGGGTTCTTCAACGGCCTGCATCATTTCCCTTTCTGAAAAGGTAATCAGTACTGCTAGTCCCAGAACTCACAAGTTATACGAATCCATCCAACGCCTTTCTAATATTGTATGGTTAATAAGTTTATTGTAAGATCTCTCACCAAGAATGTGCTTACTTTTGGCCTATGAATTGCTTAGTGCTGTGAAATTAAATTTCGTGTATGAATGTCACTCCAAAAGTATGTCCTCATTCAACTTGGAAGCTGTATAAATTGTAGAATGAGATGGTTTCTTTTCTTTTTCTGTTTCTTTTTAAATAAAAATACATTAATGAAAAGTTTTGGTTTAATTGCAGGGACTCCGTGCGATTAATCTGGGGGATAGTGGATTCATAGTTATAAGAGATGGAAGCACTATCTTCAGATCTCCCGTTCAGCAACATGGCTTCAATTTTACTTATCAGTTGGAGAGCGGCTATAGTGGTGATTTACCCAGCTCTGGAGAGGTCTTGCAATTTTTTTTAAGCTCTCTTTTTTTGCACTTTTATGTTGCTTAAAACATCAACTATGTTTACAAGGGGTGGAGGTTTTACGCTTCTGTATCTGCTTACATTTTAACAGAATTATCATATATCCGGTCTCTTAGAGGTAAAAACAATCCTCATCTTCCAGCCACAGAGTTTGGGCAGAAGTAGGGAAATTCATTACGAATGTGAACAGACCATTAGATTCAGCAGTTTATCTCATTTTCTTCATCAATTTTTCTAATTTTCTAACTCAAAATGGCATGAAGTCCTTGAGCAATAAGATTGTGATATTTTCTACTTGCGGACAACTATTTTCCATTGGTTAGATAATGGTATACCCTATATCTGTTTATTTAAGGCACTGAAGAATCTTTTCTTTGATCCTTCTGGCCAGATTTTCATAATACCTGTTGCACCTGGGGATGTCATAGTTGCTGGAACGGATGGCTTATTCGACAATCTTTACAGTAATGAGATTTCAGCTGTTGTAGTTAATGCAGTTAGATCTGGCTTGGAACCAGGAGTAACTGCTCAAAACATAGCTGCTTTAGCACGCCAAAGAGCACTGGATAGGAACCGGCAGACCCCATTTTCTGCTGCTGCTCAAGAGGCTGGTTATCGCTACTATGGTGGTAAGCTGGATGACATCACTGTTGTTGTTTCGTTTATAGCAGATTCCACGGATTCGTGAGTTTTTTCTACTGTCTCCTTCGACAATGGAGCTCGAATCAAGTGTATTTTAGTGTAACATAATGGTGATTGTGAGGATTGGAACTCTGGTCCCAATTTTCCCAGAGGTGCAGTTGACGAAGCTGCAGAAGAATGGGTAAACTTTCTTGAGGTTTCTGCAAACTCCTATCACTTGGACTCGCTTTTAAAAACAACCTGTAGGCAAATGATAGATATAACGTTAGATTTTTGGGTAAAGAAACAACAGTAGCATCCCACTGATTGCTGCAATCTCTTCGTGTTCTTGCTTCTAGCGCATAGATTCGATGAAGACAACTATTAGTCGATGATAAATAACAAATAGTCTGTTCTGTATATTATTCCTTCTACTCTTTGAGAGCAATAGATATATATTTTGTTATATGGGTGTAAAATGTACGTGGTTTGCACGAATTGTGAAAGAAAGATTGCAAACTCTGTATGCCTTATACTCGCGAGTAATTTGTTCAAATGTGTTTGAAGATTTTTATAGAGAACATGTTAATGAGTCAAGTTGAAGAGAGTCCTCATGATTCATGGGTTGATGATGTAGTAGTAGAGTTTATGTCATGATGGTTACATACCTAAAAATGTACTAAGGTGTTAAAGTAAAGTACCTATTCTCTAATGTAAACAATCCCGAAGTATATACCAAAAGAATTTGGTAACACAATACTTGGGTGTATCTATTTAGGGTGTATGTTTACCTATTTTTCTAAATTACTTTGGGCGATTAAATCTATTTAAAAATATAAAATACATCATAATTAAAATTCAATCTAACTAATTCAATCTAACTAATTAATTGGTAGTTACTTAAAAACTAAATTTTACACAATTTGTTTAATGAATTCATAGAAACGTGTGTAACAAATGTCATAGATAGGATGGAAGGAAGTGGGTTGGTAGATATAAGACTAAGTATGAGGTATTTTCTTTTTTAAACACAATATTAATGAAATCACTTTTATAATTTATTGTTTCTTAAATTAATCAATCTTTGTTTAATAAACAACGTCAAATCTCCATTTCAAAATGGAGTCTTATTTTGTATATTTTCTTTTATATATTTATTTGTTAGGTCGAGATAAATTAAGTATTGTTTAATAAATATGTCTATATCATCATCATTTAGTTAATAGTACTAACTTGATATTCAAAGAAATTTAGATTTTAACTTTATTTTTTAATTAATTAATAATAATAATAATATCATTATATATATATATATATATATATATTTTGTGTGTTTGTTTATTTAATATTAAACCCTTTGTGAAAAGAAAATATGCATTGCTATCAAGATGATTATTCTGTGTCTACCCTATCGCCATCCCCTTTGATACTTTTGAACTGTACGTTTAATTATTTTTTAATCCCAAAAATTAACTTAATTGGGTTTTCCTTCAATCTTGTCTCTTGGAAATAAAGTTTTTACTTGAGGGGTCATTTGAATTGGCACATTTAAATAATTAAAAAAATGACAGAAAAATCTAACAATGGTAAAGGAATATCTTTTCCAAATAAAATTGATTAGTTTTTGTTAAGAATAACAAATCAATATTATCTACTTCACTCCGACTATCAATTTTTTTAAAAGTATTTTTAACCATTATATCCTCCGGATCATTCTCCTTTGGATGTGATCTCGATAGACACAAATCAACATGAGTCTTTTTAGTATATAAGTTTCGAGTTCTTATGATAGATCACAAAAAATGGAAGTGCCCCTTATTATTATAGGTGGTAACTATAAATTCTTTAAAACATTTTTGAGTAATCATACGTTTTTAGAGACTACTCTCATTTATGTACCCCTCTTTGCTTCTATGCTTAAGTAGTCTAGGTGCGCAACTAGCTAGAACACTGTCAAACCAACTAAAGTATCTATGTGGACCAACCATAAATGACTCTATCACCGTTAGAGGAAGTGATAACCCTCTCAAATTCCACCATAGTAGCATCAAAAAACAAGAATGCAACCCAATGCAACCACTTAAGATACATGTGTGGGCTAACTATAAATCACTCAATCACTACAAAGGGAGGTTGACAGCCCTCTAACGTCCTAACATAGTACATCATAATGTGTCATGGTACATAATTGTGACGTAGTGAGCAAAAAATAATATATTAGTACTGTAGACAGTTAAGTACAATAGATAATCATACGTCATGCTATCATATTCCTCTCATAGTTTGTGTATAAATCTAGGTCGAAAAGAAATTCTAAGCCCTACATAATGATTCACGTGCACTACTTTGGTTCAAACATAATAATATAGAAAGTATGACTTAAGAAAACACAAATTTGTATAATATACTCATCATGCAATTTAAGCTTACGAGCTATGGGCCCTACATCATAGTTTTCACATCGAATTATATCATTTCATTCACTTTTGTAGTCATCGCGTTAGCTATGATTTGAAAACTTATCCCGTTTAGATATTTATTTCAAAAAAGTTGTCGAAGTGAGAAACATGTTCTTTTTCTTAACAATTCTTTAAAATTCTTGATGAAACCTTACAATCGTATAAAATCTTTTAGATAAAAACTTGCACGCACAATTATCTTTCTTGTTCCTTCTCTAGCGATAATTCAATCCTTGGATGAACACGTATGACAATACAAAAACGACTCCAATGTGCAAACGAATTGATTAATGATAGTAAGTAAAGGGAAAAGGTAGAGTGGGATGAACGCAATTGTGTTAAATCTAGTGATTATAAAAGTGAAATGTGATACCAAATTCAAACACAATTAACATTCAGAAGTGTCAATATTCAATCAATTCTATTTTATTTTCTTTGCATTAAAGTCTTCACACCTTTCAACTCTCACATGCTTACATCAACCCATCCAACACTTTTCCCAACCTCTTCAAACTTTTCATCATCCAATTTCGGATTAAAAACAGAAAACATCATTTGTTTCGTTTCTAAAATACTTTTAAACTTTCAAAATTATTTGTTGGGTTAATTTTTTGAATTGAAAACGTTAAAAAAAAAAAAGTCTTTTATTTTAGTGTTTTATGTAAATTCTTCTTTCATAATAAAAGTTAATATGAAACGTGTATTAACACAACATTCCAAGAGCTTAACTAGATTCTTACATTGAAACGGGTTGTTTTCCCCAATTTTCTTTCCAATTAATTAATTTCTCTATTTTTATAGAGTAATTACTTTATTTTCTCAGTAACTGAATTCAAATGTCTAATAGTTTGGGAATAATGAAACAAAACATATAGATGTCTTTTTATCAATAATTTTTAAATTAAAAAAAAAATACGAAAACAACTTTTTCTTTTTCCTTTCTTCTAAAATACAACTTTCCAAATCCAAAATTTAGTAACTCTTTTTAAAAAAGTTTTAATTATATTCTAAGTTTGACTTTTAATTAATAGACAACTTAAACATTAATATGATGAGTTGATTGAAGTAACCCGCTATAATTTAGCAGAGAACATGCATGTAGAAACATATAACTCAACTTCGTTTAGGTACATATTCTCGAATCTTCTATACTCCTCATGATCACGATATTTTGTTGGGAGGGCATAGGCATAGGAGACATAGGAGATAGAAGATACCCCATGATCACGACGATGATGATCACGACGAAGATGATGATCACGCCTCAAATTAAATGAAGTTCCTAAAGTCATTATCGTGTTTCATCAATTATGCAAATTTGGAATCTCAATCCCTTTTTCTCTTTTCTTTTGTAAGCTTCAAGCTTCCACCTCCCACCGCGTGTCTTTCCCTTCGAAACTTAGCCCTTAAGGACATGGACTTCAAATATTTTCTTCATTTTTTTTTATAATATATTCTTCTCCACCACCTTTATTTATATATATATATATATATATTATAATCTAAAACGTGAATTTATTTTAACCCATTAATCTTGGACGGTTCTTTTTTTCTTTAGAAAAAAAATTTACCTATTGTAAAGTGATATCATGTAGGGTTAGAAAAGGTTAAATGGTCATTTTTAGACTTTTTACAGTATTTAGGGTTTTTTTTTTAACCTCTTAACAAGTTTTTGTAATTGTGTTATTATTTATGTTATGATATTTCAATGAATGGAGTGATGCATGACATCTTGTTTGTTATTCATGTTTGCTATGTTACTATGATTATATTTATGTCTTGTGAGACACGTAGGATAAGCATGCATGAAATATAATGAATATGTATGTACGTCTCATAATGAATTTATTACGTGCGTCACCTCATTAGATCATGATTTCGAAAATTAGGTCCTACAAGTCATGATACATGTTGTATATCGTTTCATTTCTGGACCCTAACAATGAAGACCCTTGAGGAGGCCATGAAACAAAGCCGAAACAATTTATTTCACGTTTTCGGTAGCGTAATTATATTTTAAGAGTACAAGTTTATGGCAAGAAAATTAGAATATGGTATCAAAATATATAAAGTTTAGGCCAGAATATGGAAATATATATAGGCAGGGAAAAGGTGTATATATATATTTTTTTGGAGAAATTTAAATGTTTTCTTTTTATGGAATTTTAATGTTGAATATGAATGATTCATAGGTTTTGAATGAGTAAGGAGTTTGTTTTGATTGCATTCTAAATCAATAAGGTTCTGATACTAATTTTATATTAGGTTGGAATAATCCACATATGCTATAACCTGATACATGTGACATCAATTATGATTTATTTTTCACTCTTTCATTATGATTTATGTCATTTTGTTTTATAGCATTAAATTATGTAATATTCTTTATAATCTGGATTTGGATGCTTAATTCCATATCTCCTTAACCATTTCCTACTATTGAAATCACCAATCAATTCAAAGCTTTTGGGTTATTGGATTAGGGTGCGGTTAATATATTATATGGTTAATATCAAATTCATACAAATTTATGGTGAAATGGATATTTTATGTTTGAATGAATTTTATATTTAGTATTAATAATATAAAATGACACACAATTCTATGCACCCAAAAAGTTCCTTTTTCATGTCTATAATTGGGTGCGTTGGATCCCTTCAAGTGTTCACACTTCCCCGTAACAAAAGGGGAGGATCGCTGTTGGTGTTACAAAATAACATTTCAAATTTTAAAAACTATTATTGGTTCATATAGTTTAATCTTATACTAAACTTTCAAGATTTATTCCTACATATGCTAATATATATATTAATATAAAATTATGGACTATTCAATAATAAATAAAAAAACCTAATTCATAATTAAAATTAAAATAATAATAATTTATAGAAAAAGGACCCAAAACATCTTTTTTTTTTTTTTTTTTTACATAGGAAGGGGTTAAGTTTGTGATAAAGTGGCAATAATGGCACAAAAAAGAAAAGAAAGGATGGTGAAAGTTGAATATATGGTTTGGGTTTGCTTTTGAGTATGTGAATTTGGAAAACTCATCGATTTGGCAATCACTCCTTGCTTTCTCACCCAATTCGAACATATTCCCTTGCCATCTCCTTTTGCATCTACACCTTTCTTCTATATAATATATATATATATATATATATATATATTTCTACACCTTTACAACTTTCGGCTTCCGCCTCTGATTGATTTGTATGATTTTTATAGAGTGAATATTATTCCAACATAGCAACACCAATTTTTTCAACATGTTTTGTTCTCACTCACATGTATCTTATAAAAAAGTTTTCAAGAGGTCACCCAAACATATAATTGTTTCAATCAAAACACGTTTAGTTATTTAGTTTCTATGATTGAACTACCAAATTTTTTTTAATTATTTTAAGTATTTTTTAATCATCTTAAATCTAATCCTATAACCAAAAAAAGAAAATTTGAAAAAAATTAATTTGAGGAAGTAGAAAGTAAATTAAAAGTTTTTTTTTTTTTTTAAATTTTAAATATTTTATGAAGCAAATACATTGGAAAAATGACTTAGAGGAGCATGGAAATGACGCGCTGTTGGGTTGCGTGTGGTGGTACATGTTTTTGATGTTGGACAAATTAGTGGCCCTGTGGGACATAAGTAGTCAACCGATGGCCGACTGGCGACAAAAGTCCTCGTCAATTTGTGGGACCCACTTAAGTGCCACTTGTCTTTCTAGACTGTTGTTATCAATTAAATATACTACACAAAACTAAATAACACATTCCGTTTTAGATTTGATTTGGAACCATTTATTATAGTTTTACAAACTATTTAACGGAAAAAAAAAAAAAAAAAATCTTCCTTGTTCTAAATTTTGTATACTAAGATTTTCTGTAGAAGAAGAGGCTGGGAGAGGTGGGGAACGACAATGTTGGTAAAAAAACTAAAAAGAGAGGAAAGAGTTTTGTTGAGGGAAGAGTAGGGGAATCTCTTTTATTTTTTGTTGGTTTTATTTGGATGATGAAGTTCACACATAGCTACAAGTCTCCCAATTCTTAAAGTTGGGAATGATAGCTCTTTTGGGTATGCTTTTTTGGAGGGATAAGTAAAGGTTGTTGTGTTATAACTTGTAGTGCCCCCAACTTTACTCACTTTAATGCTCAACTTTGCCTTCTTTCACTTCTTTCACCTCTTTTTCTTTTCAGTTTGTTTCCCCCTCCCCTTTTCTCTTTTTACCTTGTCTCGCTAAGGTTCGGAGGGAAATTCTTTTCATTTTAATGCCCTTTTTTTAATTTTAATTTTTATTATCAAACGAACCCATCTAACGAGTTCATTGACACGAGAGAGAATATGACTTAGGAATGTCAATTATAAAAATTCTAAGAGAGCATATTACAAAAGTCTTAGCTCTCCATTTCAAAACTTTGAATATTTTTGGATATGCAATTGAGGATGGAAAGGAAGAGTGGTTAAATCATGTCATTCTTAATTTAATCGTCCCGTCTACAACAATATTTAATAAAACTCGGCCAAATTCAATTGAATTAATTCAACTTTATTAATTTCGTCAAAATTAAGAGATTATGTCAATATTTTTTTAAAATTATTGGGGTAAGGTGAAAAGCTTGAACAGAGAGAGCATAAAACAATGGTTTAAGCCACAAAGTAGAATGAAAGAAACAAAAACTACAAAAAATTTTAAAAACTCATAAAAAGGGTTTATATATTATTCAATTAACCATAAGCCTAAACATCTTTTTCTTTTCTGTTTAATCAGCCTCCCCTTGTGAGGGCAATAAAGTTTCTCTCTGACCTCTCTTGCTTTCCACAGCTTGGCTTGGCTTCTCGGCTAACCTCTCGGCTTCGCTTCATACACGAACAAGCGAAACTAATAGGCCAAAGCCGAAACCGAACCAAGCCAAGCCGAGAATAAAAAAAAAAGCAAACATGGAAGAAAAAAAAGCAATATTAGGCTTCAAAGAGAAGCTTGTAAGAGATGAAAAAGAGAGGGGGGCAGTCCTCTGTCTAGTGTCGATCATGCCCCCATCTTTTTCCCATATTACTTGTTCCTCATGTATGTCATGCCATTTGCCAATTTCTCATTTTTCTTTTCCTTTTTTTTCAATACTTTTTAATTTCAAGAAAGAGACTCACGATCAGTAACCACTAAAATTTAGTGAGATTTTGAGCTAAGATTTAAAGTTTAGATTCGAGTGAAGCTCTAGTACCTGATCATATTGGAATCGACTAGTATCAAAGTTGGATTATAAATTTTAGTCTAAATCTTGAAAATAGGATATTACAAAAACTATGATTAGATTAATTTTATTATAATATAGTTATTAATGTATTTATTACGTCTAAATGAACTTTTTATTAATACTTAATCAAATCATTTATATAATAACTAAATACATCTATAAAATAAACTAAAATAGATCTGGATAGTTTGTGTTTATTTTTGTTTAAGTGCTTTATATATAGATCTTAAATTTGTTAATTTTGTATCTAATAAATTTATATTGTAGAATAAGTTGGATGATTTGAATTGAGTGTAAGTATTAAAAAACTTCACTATAATTTAGTAATTATGACATCTCTATTCCCTTTAAAAATTATAGATTCAATTTTTTAAAAAAGCAACTTTGAAAGTTTAAATAACTAATAGATACCCTCTTGAAAATTTATGGTCAAAAAACTTATAATTCAACTCAATGAAAAATATTTATATCTTTCTATTTAGAATAAATAAATAAAATTAAGTTTTACCATAAACTTCACATCTATAAATTTTTAAATAAAATTTTAAACACGACCAAACATGACAATTTTTACCTTAAATTCAGTCTTTTTTTTTTTATTAATTAAAGTAAGATAATTTAATTAAATATTCAAAATTTCTGGAACAGAAACTTATGGGAAAGTAAAAATTGAACTGTTACTGAATTTAAAATGGAAAGTGAAAGGTAAGAATTAATTGGTATGGTAAAAAAAAAAAAAAAGGCGAGGGATTGGAGTGGATAGTTGGGTAGTTCCATTTTCCGAAGAGGATCCTTTTATGTGGCCATCCCCTTTTGGCATTGGTTAAATAAAACACGCTAACTCACTCAATCATCATAAAAAGGCTTCTTTCATTACCTCCACAGCCCCACCCTTGTTGTTGTTGTCGTTGTTCTTCTTCTTCTTCTTCTTCTTCTCCTCCTCCTCCTCCTCCTCCTCCTCCTCCTCCTCCTCCTCCTCCTCCTCCCTACTCTCATGCTCATTTGATTTCATGGCTAATTTCCATGCTTTTTTGCCTCATTTCGGCCTCCATTTGGGGTTCCATTCTTTCATTTTGAGCCCTTTTCTTCCCACTTTGGCTCACTTTTGAAGCTCCCAAAGCTTTGATTTGATCCAATCTTCTTCCCCAAAAGCACAGACCAAAGCAGATCACCTCAGTCCTCCACAATAATGTCTAATAACAATAAAATGAAAGGCCTCCTCAAAGGCCTCAGATACATTTCTCAAATATTTGGTAAGCAAATAAAATTTAAAATTTGAAAAAAACCCATTTCCCCCCTTCTTTCTCTCATAAAAATAACAATAAAAAAACCTGAATTTTTGCAGATAATGAGAAAGAACCTGAAATGCAGATTGGTGTACCCACAGATGTCAAACATGTTGCCCATATTGGATGGGATGGTCCTTCAGTCAATTCTCCAAGCTGGGTATATCCATATATACATATATATATATATATATATCAATAAATAAATCTTATATCTTAAAATATATATACATAATTATTCATTAAATTTTCTTTCATTTTTAATTTTTTAATTTTTATAATTTATAATTAATTTGTATGGTGTTCTTACGAGCAAGTGAATGCAGATGACTGAATTCAAAGGTGATCCTGGAGATGCCTCTGGCCAATTAGCTTCTCAAGGTATCATTTATTTGCTTTTTTTTTTTTTTGTATTTTTTTATGTTCTTTACTAAATTTTTCTTTCTAGTTTCATAATGTTTACGCAATTTTAAATGAATTTTTTAATTAAAAAATATATGTTTTGGGTTTTATTATAAAATTTTTTCACCCTTTGTGTGGGGAAATTAATTGCTGTAATGGNCACCATCGCCATCGCCCCCCCCCCTCCCACCCCCACCTCCACCCCCAATATTACCAACCCCTCTTACGAACCCACCTCCGTCCTCGACCTCCGCCGCAGCCCCAGCCCTGTGGCGCCTGACCCACACACCCTCTCCTCCGCTCCACTCCTCCCCACTGACGATCGTCCCAACAACAACAACAACAACAACAACCCTTCTCTGGACTGGGATGAACAGACCCTCCACAACCTCGACTGGGACTCCATCATGGGAGATTTGGGCTTACACGATGACTCCAACTCTGCTCCCAAAAACCCAAACCCAAACCCCAATCCCAATCCCAATCCCAATCCCAACAACAATAATCATGTTCCTCAATTCCCTGATTTCCTCCACTCCCACCCCTTCGATCATCAAACCCATCTGGTTTCCCCTGATTTCTTCCTCTCTGAACCCCCCTATTCCAACCACACCCCCACCTTCAATTCCTTCGATTTGGCGGCTCCCAATTCCAACAACTTCTCCTGCGAATTCCTTGAAGACATAGTCCGCACCGCTGATTGTTTCGACTCCAATGACTTCCAACTCGCCCACGTCATATTGGAGCGCCTCAATCAACGCCTTCAATCCTCCACCGGAAAGCCCCTTCAGCGGGCCGCCTTCTTCTTCAAAGAGGCTCTTCAATCTCTCCTCTCCGCCTCCAACCGCCACAATCGCCTCTCCTCCTGGCCCGAAATTGTTCATACAATCAGGGCTTACAAGGTCTTCTCTGCAATTTCTCCAATTCCCATGTTCTCCCACTTCACTACCAATCAGGCGCTTCTTGAAGCTCTTAACGGCTCGTCTTTCATTCATATTGTTGATTTTGATATTGGGTTTGGAGGGCAGTACGCGTCTTTCATGAAGGAGATTGCAGAGAAGGCAGAGTCCAGGAAGATGATTCCACCGGTGCTTCGGATAACGGCGGTGGTGCCGGAGGAATTTGCGATTGAGAGTAGGTTGATTAGGGAGAATCTGTGTCAGTTCGCTCAGGATCTGAAGATTCGGTTTCATATAGATCTGGTGCCGCTTCGGACCTTCGAGACGTTGTCCTTCAAATCGGTGAAGTTCATGGAAGGGGAGAAGGCCGCGATTTTATTAACGCCCGCGATCTTCCGCCGTCTTGGGAGTATAAACAGTATAGGGTCTTTTCTCTCCGACGTGCGACTGGTGTCGCCCTGCGTCGTCGTGTTCGTTGACGGTGAAGGGTGGTCGGACTCCGGCGCGGCGTCGTTCAAGAGGAATTTGGTAGATAGCCTGGAGTTCTACGCCATGATGCTAGAGTCGCTGGACGCAGCGGTGGCTGGCGGGGACTGGGTGCGGAGGATAGAGACGTTTGTGTTCCGGCCGAAGATATTGGCTGCGGTGGAAGGAGCAGGGAGAATGGCAGCGCCGCCGTGGAGGGAGGTATTCCACGGCGCCGGGATGAGGCCAGTGGCACTGAGCCAGTTTGCAGATTTTCAGGCGGAGTGCTTACTTGGAAAAGTACAGGTTCAAGGGTTCCAAGTAGGAAAACGGCATGCTGAGCTGGTGCTGTGCTGGCACGAGAGGCCTCTGGTTGCCACGTCGGCGTGGAGGTGTTAAGAGCTTAATTACCCGAGATATTGAGGGTATCATAATTGATTAAAAATTATAATTTACGATAATTGGGATTAGGGGTTTGGGTTTAACTATAGGGACGTACATAAAATGGTATGTATCCCGCCCTTCTCCAATTAATATTAATATTAATATATATTCGGTTTTCTTTCTGGATATTTTCCATACTAAAAAATTCACTCTTCCATTTTTTTTTTTTTAAATTAAAAATTGTTAGCTGCTTTGGTATTTTAATAATAATAATAATTGGACTCGGATCAGTTAATTCTTTCATTTTTTTTTTAAGATATTGTTTCTTATTGGGCTTAGCTGTCGGCCCAGAATATGGCTACTAAGTTGTTTTAGACTCTAATTTTCATTAATCTCCGATTTTTAAATTTTCATCCATAATCTTGTATCAAATTCATATAATTCTATCCATTAAATCTTATAGACATATTAATTTAGACCCTCAATTTAAAAATCGTTCATACATCAATTCTTGTACTTGCAGACTTTTTCAAAAATTTATATCTTCCTTTTAAACGATTGTCATTTATTGAAAAAGAGAGTTTATAATTATAAGTTATACGTGTTTACTAACGATTTTATAATCAAATTTGACAAAGGATATAAATTCAAAGTTTAGATTCATACCATTATTAGTTTAAGATTTTTAATTATATAACACCCAAAATTTAGGACTATGAATTCATTTTTCCTTCAAGTTAAATCAACCATCTTGTATTTATTTGGTATCTAAGTTGAGACGAAGATAATTAGATATTTTGAAATTTAGAAACAGTTATATAAAATAGTTTTAAGTTTTGGATAATCTATTATACTACATTTATTTGATTTTATAAATAATTATAATGGGTGACGTGATGACGTGAAAGGACGTAATGGAAAAGACCAGACACATAAAATAGTAGCCAATTATTTATTCCATTACGTTTGTGATTGAAGAGTGACGTTGTATACATGTTCCATTATTTTTGTTGTGCATTATTATGCTCAACTTGTAGCATCTTTCTCTAAAATATCATCATTTTCACCTCTTTTTCTTCTTGTTTTCGCTTTCATTCGGTTTTCCATATTTACTTTTTTCGCCCTACAAGACTCACTTATTTTAGTTTAATCAATGAAATAGTGAAAGAGAGAGAAAATGAAAGGGAAAATTAGGATTTACACTAGATTCATAAATTTTATACAAAAAGAAAAAGAAAACATTAATGATAATAATAATAATAATAATACATTTATAAATTAAGATGGAATTATTAGTAAAACTAAAATATAATATCAAATGTAGGGATTGGGCCATTCCATGCCATAAATGCAAGAGTTTTCAGGCATGTAGTAAAACACATCTTCGAATGATGCTCCAAATTCCCCGAGGCCTGTGGGGTCCACGGCGTCCATTGACATCGATGGGCTTGGGCTGCTGCTGCTTAAAGGCCCATCGCCCCGTTCTCCCATTATCAACCTCTCCTTTTCTTTCTCCGCTTCTGAAAGTTGTTCTTTCAGCTTCAGTATCTGTAAAATCATCACCAACAAATTAACCTTACTTACTTTTGCTTATCTTTGTTTACTAAAAGAAATGGTTAAGATGTTTTATTTTTGGGTATATTTAAATGGGTAAAAGTAATAAAATTGTTTACTTAGTAGGGTAAAAGTTAATTATCTCTACGGGCGTTGTTGAGTCTTGATTGGTGCAATGTAGAAGTGAGGGGGACCAAAGTGGGCCGATGGCCCATAGAAACACGGACAACGTTGTACGAAACACTTTATAATTACTTTTATAGCTTTAGTTTTTTTTGTTTGTTTTAAAAAAAAGAGTTTTATTGTCGAATGAGATGGTTGTATGGGATATGGAAAGAAAAAGAAAAAAAAAAAAAACATATTTTTGAAGAAGGTGGCGTGGGCTTCTTCGAGCCCAGAGCCCATGCACGTTCGTTCATAAATGGTGTCCCACCCTCTCTTTATCACCCAAAGTTACCAAGCTTTTTCTCCTCTAATAACACCTTTCGGTTGATGGAGATGTACTCAAATTCCTCTGTTTTTTTTTAATCAAAAATTTAGCCAACATAGATTTTACTCTATTCAGTTACAAATTTTGAAAAATAATAAATGTCTTATTAACTAACTTAAAAATTATTATTATATTGAATTATAAAATAATAATAGAAAATGGTTGGTTCTGTCTGGAAAGACGAAAACCAGCACGAGAGACAGAGAGAGGGGTGAAAATGGACCTGAGTTTCAAGACGGCATTTTTCAACGACGACGGATTCATGAAGCTTCTTCAAGCTAGAATATTCCTCCTCAAGTTTCTTGTTCTTCCAGCGGGCACGGCGGTTCTGAAACCAGACGGCGACCTGGCGAGGATCGAGCCCCAACTCCGACGCCAGACGGTCCTTTCTTTCCGACTCCAACTTATGTTCACTTCCAAAATTAGTCTCCAAAAGATGAACCTGCGCGGCTGTGAGCTTCCTCTTCTTTGCCACCGCATCCGCTTCCGATCCTCTGTTCTTCTTACGACGTCGTCTCCGTTTTGCTTCACCCAAATTATTATCTGTAACCAAAACTAAACTTCCGTTACATGGAGAGCATCAAAAATTGAAAAAAAAAAAAGAAAAGAAAATAGAGTTTTGGGTAAAGTTAAAAGAAGAGGTAGAAACCTTGTTGTTGGGGAACCATTTGGATGTATAATGGAGTGTACAACTCACAGATTTGTACTGCTTCACGCTCTTCACTTTCTTGCTGGTTCATTCTCTCTCTCTCTCTCTCTCTCTCTCTCTCTCACGGTTTTTTTGGTATCAGATATTAGTTGTGTTTAAAAGTGGGAGATTGGCTGCCTTATTTATAACCCAAACTCATATCTCTTGCCTTTTCTAATCCCTTCAACCTCAATTTACCTAAATCTCCCTACCATCAATATCATATTATTCTTCTGCCATTTTTTAATCACACTTTTTCTTCAGCTTCTGGATAAACCTCCCATTTTTTTTAATACTACTTTTCAACGATTTTTATTTTTCTAAATTTTTTTATTAGGTAAATAAATAAAACATCCTAATAAATTTTAAATTAAAATTAATTTTAAAAAATGTTACAATATCGTAAATAAATAAATAAATAAATAGAATCTTTGTCTTCAATCCCGTTTAATTGACAAAGAGAAATTTATCTATACTCTTCTCTACATTGGAAGTAGAACCGAGATTTACTATTAAATAGACATCTTTACCCATGGACGAGAGAAGGGAGAAGGACGTCAATTTTTTCAAAGAAAAAAAGTGGTGTTGTCCTTTGTTTACGTGGCAAGAGGGTGTTTCAGTCATTTTGTATCATAAGTCTTTTTTGGTTTTTTTAAAAACTTTGGAAATGAAAGGCTCTAATGTACTCACGTCCATGTCTTTCGTCCTACGCCTGCCTCTCATTCATTAAGAAATTTAAAAAAAAAAAAAAAAAAAAACAAAACAAAAATTGCTTTAATTTTGTCTTTCTTTTTCCACTTTCATAGTTTCGTGGGATAAGAGGTGATGTACTATTCTTTTTCGTAGTATAACCCTACTCATACTCATCAAACAAGATTACATTCAAATTTATAATTAAAATGTACAAATTCTCCAACTAAAAAATCATATCTCATTGAACTTTCACATCAAATTAAATTCTAAGCAACGCGACTAAATCATGTGAACTCATTTTTCTAGAATAGACATTTGGAAACCATTATTTTTGTACCGTAAAATGACTTGATTGACTTGACTTAATATTGCACGTGGATAACTTTTGTTGTCGTTGGATCGATGATTCTAGTCTACTTGATATAACATATCTTCATCGATTGTTTTTAATACCAATAAAAAAAAAGTTGACTTTAATACTTGTAACTGATCAAACATAATGGTAGCTAAAACATTCCATGTCTCGTAGATTTTAGACACATATTTGTTAAACATAAATAATAAAAGTATTTATAGTCTTTGAATTAAATGGAAAAGAGAGTGAATATTGGGATTGGGGTAATTAGAAAAGAAAGGTGGGGGTATAGTGGTACAAAAGGCTGCCATGCCACCCATTAAAGCCCACCCACACACAAAATTTGGCACTATAATATATTATTGGAAATAAATAAATAAATAAAATAAAATAAAGAAATGGGCTGGGATCCCAACACCTGAGACCGAGGGGATGTGAGAGGAAATTAAAAAAAAAAAAAAAAAAAAAAAAAAAAAAAAAAAAAAAAAAAAAAAAAAAAAAAAAAAAAAAAAAAGAGGAAAAAAGAGGCTCCAATGAAAATAAAATAACATATTTGTACAGTTCCAAATGTACCCTCCTGATTTGGACCAACAAAACAGAGTCCCCCAACTTCCCAAATATTTTTCCTTCTTTTTTTTTATTTTGCTGCCCAAATGGGTGGTATATTGTATTGTATTGGATTGCATTAGGTGTATAGCTATAGCCTTAAAACAGGGAGGGCATGCTACAATTATAAGGCTATGTAAGGGGTAATTGAGGAAGTTTTGGGGGATTTTAAGTTAACACCAACAACCACAACATAAACGCCAAAATGCATAGGCCATGCCATGCCATGCCGTGGGGTGGCTCGAGATGAGGCCTAAACACAACCTTCCACTGTTCTTCCTTTTGGGACATTTCAACAAACACTTTGTGTGTGCCCTACATCTTTTACTTTTTTCTTTTCTTTATATGTGTTCTGCCTTGCGCCCACCATCCCAGTTTAGGTGTCTCACCAATATTTATGCTTTTTTTTTTATTTTTTATTTTTATTTAAAACTTAATTTAACTGGAAACTATTTAAGAACTCAAATTGTACACATTTGGATTGAATCCTATCCATTTATTTTTTTGAAAGAAGATAAAAGAATGAAAAAAAAGAGGGTTGTAGTACATGTAATTATGGGGGACAGATGGAGGTGGAAATGTATGGTCCTTCCATTCTCTTTTCTTCAAAATGTTACCTTGTAAAGCTGTAATATGGTACACGGTTGAGCTAGCAAACCCCCTCTTCCTTTATTTTTTTGAAAGGGGAAAAATGGATCCCCATTACACATATATGTGAAAGCTTTATACTTTTTGGGGCTCTGCCAAACCCATGCATTCATTCATAGTGCTTCTTCAAAGTTACTGAATTGGATGAATGGCGCTTGGAGTTGAGTTGGGCTTTTTTCAAAATGGGCATCAACAAAAAAATGGGACTCCCAATTTTGGGAGCTACCACCACGTGGCAGTATTCATATTGACCAACTTTCATGGGAAGATTCATGGCATTGGACTAACCTTACCCCCCCCCCTACCTTTCTCAAAAAGCACTTCCACTTTCTTTCATTCATGTCTTTCAGGAATCACCTCAGTTTGTAAAAAAGTAAAAGTAGAAGTAAAAGTAAAAGTAAAAGGGGTTTATTTAAGCAACACCAAAATGAAATTGTTTTTGATTCTACGAACCCAAATTGGGATGGGATGCCTCAGATCACAAACTTTGATCAAAATGGGTATGAATGAGGTTATGGGATGTGGAGAGTTTGAAAGAAATTTAAGGAGACTGATTGGATTAGTGTTGGCAGAAGGTGACAAAGCATTCAACAATGGAGCCTTGAGAGAGAGAGAGAGAGAGAGAGAGAAACAAAAAAGCAGAGAAGACGAGAGGTGACTTGGATTAGAAAGCTTGTCTGATGAGAGAGAGGGAGATGAAAAGAAAAAGGGTGTGGGATGGAGACAGGTTCCACGTAGAGGGAAGTGCACATGGGAGCAACTCAAACCCAAAGGGTGTCTCACTGTCACAACTCCAACCATAATGTAGTCGTGTCACTCCCCTAATGCCCATGGATTCTTATGGACCACACCATTCCTTTCCCTTTCCTCTCACCACTTCCCTTAAATTATAAGCTTCCTCTCTTTTAGATTATAAGCTTACCTAAAAAAACATTTTCTCAATGCCTCAAATTGTCTCCACCATAACCAATGTCTAAAACCCCCCATCACCAATAACCCTTTTCCATTTATTTTATTCATCTTCTGCACAGGTAAGTCGATTGTGTTGCAGATGATTGAACATGCACGCATAGACGATATGTGTGATCGAATAAGCTCGGATTCCACACAAATAATGTTTGGTTGGCGAAGACGAACCTCGCCTAAGGTCAGTTGAAGCTACAAACCTATGGATGTCTCATGCAAAGGTTATGGATGTGTATCATAATCATGTACTATGATTTAAAAACGTGGAATCTCATGCATGTTGTATGTCACGAACACAAGATAATTCTCCAACATGTTTTGTAAGAACGTATACCCATGATATGATGTATGATATACACCAGTGACAACCTCAAAAGTTTTAGCTTTAAATCGGGTTGTTAATTTGATGGAAGACGAGATATTTTTGATGATGTCCAAAGGCTCCAGTTGGATAAGCACTTTGAATCCCATCCTTTTCACATCTCCAATCTATCAAAGTAAGAAAGTATGAAGGGCAGCCGCCATAAGTAGTTATTCCCACCACCTTTGAGTCCATAAGTTCACTGTCACTACGCCACCTCTTCTTTTTATCCCTTCAATTTCATAACTGACACTTACAACAAAAACCTTCTTATTACTCACTCTTGTTTTTTTAAAGTTTTGTTATTTTCAACGAAATTAGGTGAGTTGGGTTGACTTCTATTTAACTCTAGTTTAGTTAAGAACGAAAGGAAAGCATTGAAGATGGTTAACAAGGATAAGAGCAATGAGGCAGAGAAAAGGCATTGAATTAAGTTAATAATAGCATTATTAAAATGAATTAAAGAAAAGAAAAGGAAAAGGTGATTGGGCGCATGAATGAGAGATTCCCTGCGTTGGAAGCTTTTGTTTAAAAATTGATTTAAGAATTAGTTAAGAAGGGTTTAAAAAAAAAAAAAAGAAAAGAAAAAAGAGGAAATTAAGATGGTTAATTAAAGATTATAAAGTAATGGGTGTCATGTTTATACCGACAAAGGCAGGCATTGTTTCCCCATCTTCCAACTTCACAACTTGGGTTAAAGCTATTGGTTACAATTATGATTGATCATATCTTTTAATTACTTTAATTAACCTGAGATTCCCTTTGATTTCATGCACTCATTTCAATTAACCAAATCCCTTATTTTATACATTTATATATACATATTAAACTCTTTCCTTGGGCTTTGTTCTCTTTTTTCCCTTTTTTAAATTAAAAAAAAAAAAAGAAGCCTAATTATGTTTCAGAGTGTTCATAGTGGGGTTACTTTATCTAATGCCACTTTTTTTTTTTTTTTTTTTTAGAATTATTTTCATTTGCGAACATAATAAATGTTAAAAATAAAAATTATAATTTTCTTTATAGTCATCATTTAATATATGGAAATGAAATTAAAATAGATATATGTATATATATATATATATATATATAATAATTTTAGCTTAATCTACAAAGTAATTCAACCCATAAATTAGGGACATTTAATCAGATTGTCAATGCATGTGACTACTTTTTATTATTATTATTATTATTTAATTTCATTCTCACACTGATAACCAGAATATATTTTTTTTTAATTAAACTTTAATACATGAAAAATATGATAAAAATAAACTCTTTTATTCTTTTTATAAAGTAGTATATAATTTATTAAAATTACAGATTTAGGTGATCAGCTGTAGATCTTTGCCAAAAGTTACTTTGCAAGTATCCGAATGATTAAGAAATTTGAGATCGTATATTTATTTTATCCATAAATAAGTTATTTAATAATGTATAGATTTAAAACAAAGAAATTAGTTAATGAAACAAGAAATATTAGGTACAATTATAGGTTCCAACCGACAAGAGGACCCAATAGTGTGTTGTGTGGGCTTGTGAGCAATAGTGGTTTATGTCTTATGTACTGACAACTTGAAATTCCATTTGATTCCCATCTCCAAACTTTTAAAACTTTTGAAGTATACATAACATAGATAGAGACATTTTATGCTTTCAAATGGGAAAATGTGAACTTGTTGTGTTCATTGTCGTCTCCGTCGTCATCATCTAGATTCCTATTTTATTTTTAACACAAACACCATACAAAAAGTTTCATTTTTTTTATTATAATAAATATGAGGTATGGAATTCTAAACGAGTTAATAATATTTATTTACATTGCACGTTGTTCCAATCTTGAGAGTGACAGTTGTGGTAAGCCAAGCACTAACGTTGGTACCTTGAAATTGCGTGCTGGAATAGAAGATAGACACGTTGGTACGTTTTGACCCATACAGTATGATAGTTCAATCTAAGTTTATGGGTAATTTTAAACAAATATTAGAATATATGAAAGGGGTGGATTATGTGACAAGTAATTAATAAAAGCATAGATTAAGGAGTAATTTGCATTTAAATTTGGTATATATTTATCCTTTGTTTCTGAAAAATCGTGTATGTCTCAAAATCTTCCCACCCAGAAGCTTGTTCCATTCAAATCCAAGGAGAAAACCAAGAAAAAGTTAGTTTGTTTTTTAAAAAAGAAAAAAGGATAACATTTTGGGAATTATATTTAATTGTTTTAAGCCTTGAATTACGCCTTGATTTTTGATTTGGTGTTTAATCAAGGTGGGATTGTGACAATTTCCAGCTCTAACTCCAAGGACAAATGTACTATTAAGGCTCTATATTCAATACTTTTAATGCTTATTTTTTATTAAAATAATAATTATTAAGTGTATTACACTACATGCTGACGTATGGCATGATTTATAGGTCCAAATTCAATACATTATTTAATTCCAAAGTAGACCAAGATTATTTGATGACCACGTGACATGAGAAAGATAAAGATGACCAGTAAAAGATAAAATGAGACCATTTTTATTTATTTTTCTTTGGGTCTTCTAGAACATAGAACATGGAGGAGCCTTTTTTTTTTTCTTTTAAAAAAGAAAACATTGATAGAAAATGTGCGTGACAAATTTGATATTGGGCTGGACTAATATTAGAGAACATCATCTACAAATTATAGAATGGGCTAAGTATAATGGGCCTAAGAATTGGACCAGATGCCCAACAAGTGGGCTAACATTTAATGGTTCAATTTTAATGGGGGCCCAAATTGGCGAAATAATCCCGATGAACTTGAGCTTCAAATGATCTGATAAACTAAGAAGGCCTTCTCTCTCGCCAAATCCCACGACAACACTTCCAAAATTGAACTCCCCCTCCCTCCCCTCTAAAATGGGTACTCGCAATCTTGCTCTCTTTCCCCTTTTTATGGCGGTTCTCCTTTCCGTACACTCTAAGACCCACTGGGAAGACACCCAAGTTCTGAAACAGCTGAAGAACGCTTTGGACCCCACTTCCATCTCCTCTGCTTCCTGTGTACATTCTTGGGATTTTTCTGTTGATCCTTGTGATAATCTCTTCGGCCAGAAATTCACTTGCGGTTTCCGGTGCGATACCGTTGTTTCAGGAGCCAGCCGTGTGACCGAGCTCAACCTCGACCAGGCCGGTTACTCAGGCTCCATTTCCTCTGTTTTCTGGAACCTTCCTTACTTGGAAACTCTTGATTTGTCAACCAATTTCTTTTCGGGTCCCATTCCTGCCTCCTCCTTCTCCAATTTGGCTCGGATGCGCTTACTGAGTCTCTCTGATAACTCGTTTTCCGGCGAGGTTCCGACGTCAATCGGCTCACTCTCTGCTCTTGAGGAGCTGTATTTAAATGGGAATGGGTTTAATGGTTCTGTTCCGGCGAGTTTTGTGGGGCTTGTTAGTTTGAAGCGGTTGGAACTGCAGTCGAACGGGTTCACGGGTGCGTTTCCCGATTTGTTGGATTTGAAGAATTTGTATTATTTAGATGGTAGTGATAATAGGTTTTCCGGCGAACTTCCGTCGGTTTTTCCGGCGTCGTTGGTTCAATTGGCCATGAGGAATAACAGCTTTGAAGGGGGGATTCCCGGTAGTGTTGGGAAGTTGGTTAATCTTCAAGTTGTGGATCTGAGTCACAACCAATTAGGTGGCTCTGTTCCGGCGGCTCTGTTTGAACATCCTTCTTTGGAGCAACTTACGCTCTCTTTCAATCGGTTTTCCGCCGTGGAAACCCCTGATTCCAGCGGCACCCGGAGTGGGCTTATCGCCGTCGATTTGAGCGACAACGAAATTACTGGGTTTCTACCGCCGTTCCTGGCGTTTATGCCGAAGCTCTCTGCTTTATCACTGGAGAACAACGACTTCACCGGAATGATTCCGGTTATCTACGCGTTCAAAACCGCCGCGCCAAATCCCGGCATCTCGCCGCTCGAGAGGCTGTTGTTGGGCGGAAACTACTTGTTCGGGCCAATCCCAGAGCCCTTGCGGCGGATGAAACCCGACTCCGCCACCGTCCGACTCGGCGGGAACTGCCTATTTCGGTGCCCAACATTCTTGTTCTTCTGTGAAGGCGGCGAGCAAAAATCCACCGCCGAGTGCCGGAGCGCCGGCCCGATGATCCCATAAAAAATACAAAAGCTCTGTTTTTTGGAAGGGAATAGAATTATGTTCATAATATGAGTAGTTTGTTCTTTTAGCTTAGCGTAGCTTAGCAATGGCTTTTTGTTTCTTCCATTGATTAATTGGGAAATGATTTGAAGTTGGCATGACGACGAGGGTGCATCAAATAAGTGAATGGGGAATGGGATTGATCTTTTGATTTTTTTTTTTTTTTTGTTTGTTTCTGAGATTCTGACAGATGAGTTTTATAGGGCACGTGGGATGGGCTCTGCCAAAACCACTGCCGTCCACGTGTTAACTCTCGCCAACGGATCTATTTTTCCTTAAATGGAAAGGACTTTCCTTCAGCCTTCAGGGATTTTTATAACATATATAATAATATTTGGTGCAACAATTTTAATACCTAAGTTGCAAATTTGATATAAAGTCGTGTAATTTTTTTTTCTTCCAAATTTCAAATTTAATATGTCAAAGTTTATGCTGCTAATGCCCTTAATTAAATGTTAGTCTCATTATCCATCTGCTTGGGAGCGTGGAAAATATGTACAAGAAAATCTTGAACATCGAAAGAATGTTTATTATCGACAGAGTGGTAATTGACATGTACTACATCCACATCTATTTCCATCCACCACTATTTCCATGTGAAAACAATACTACATGGAAATTCTGTGGAAGAAAGCTTAAAAGAAAGAGAGAAAAAATAGAAATAATGTCATGTTGTTGAAGGAATTCTAAGAAAAAAATGGTCCTGATAAATCCCTATAAGAACTTTATGAGCATCACCTTATACTGTTCGCATCACCTTATACTGTTCGCATCACCTTATATTGTTCACATCAAGATGCGGATCACAGCCAGACCCACAGCAGATATGGAAACAAGGGTACCGATGCAGTATTTTATTACATCGTATTTCGCAGCTTCCACTTGTGCCCTCAGAGCATGAATTTCCTGCAATTTTTTGAGCAAACAAGATTACAAATTACTCACACAACACAAATCATTCCAACTTCTCAATCTTCACGTAGTTGGTCTTACCCGATCAAGTTTATTAGTTAGGTTGTTTGTTTCAGCATTCTGATTAGCTAGCTCATCCCGTATCCTCCTGCACTTGTGAACAACAAAGACGTGTAACCAAAGGAAAAATCAAACCAAAATTGATTCCCCTACATACTCTCCTGCTTCTTCTTACCCTCTTTCAAGATTCAAATCCAATCGCTGTCCAGCTGTGACTTTGTCAATTTCATACCTGCACCATAATCAAAGGTCCTTCACAAATGAGACCAATTCAAGAGCTAATGTCTAAAATATGAACTCAGTATACATTTCATATAAACTGAGGTACGGTAAAACAAACCTCAACTCATTGCGCATCTTATCAATATCATTTCGGAGTTTTTCGGTCTCGTGTCCCAATAACGAAAAATGGTGCCCCTACATAACACGTGTTGATCCAATGGTCAGAGAACATAAACTAACAAACCAACTTTGTAAAGTATAAGACTTCCTTAACAAATAAAATTTCGAGACTTAAATATGTTTGATTCCAAAGAAACTCCATGTTAGAACTGTGGTTGCCTTTCACCCTATTGGCCTCACCACTTGCCTCTATAAAATCATCACTCAGGTCCTTCCAGAAAGTCACGAAAAGGTCTTTCCTCTCACCATTAGGGTACCAAACAACATTTGCTGAGGGATGACAACCACAAATCCTTGATGCATCTCTCAGGCCGATGAACTTATTGACGAATGGCAAAGAAAGAAGAGGGTTTTGATAAGGTGGATTGGGATTTTCTTGATAATATCCTTGCTTCCAAAGGCTTTGGTCTTAAGTGGAGAATTTGGATTAGAGGGTGCATCTCCTCTACTAATTTCTCAATTCTCATCAATGGCCGTCCTCATGGTAAAATTCTAGCAACTTGGGGCCCTTAGACAAGGGGGTCCATTATCTCCCTTCCTTTTCATTACGATTATGGGCAACTTTAGCAGTTTGCCATTTGAAGCCAAATGCGAGGGTCATATAAAAGGCTTTTGGGTTGCCCAAGGTAATTTAAGAATCAAACATATCTCATTTGTTGATGACACCATTCTATTTTCTGAGTCCGAAGATAAGATATCATTTCAACACCTCCTCAAGGGAGTTGGGGTTTTCAAACAGGCTTCCAGACACCACATTAATCTTCATAAATCAGAGATTATTGGTATTAATGTTGAGCCCACAATTATTGAGGATGAAGCTAAGAAGTATGGTTGTAAAATGGGTGAATGGTTGAATTCTTATATGGGGCTTCCTCTCGCTGGCGTTTCTAGAATTAAAGCCTTTTGGCTTCAATCATAGAGAAATAGAGAGAAGACTATCAACATGTGTCACCAAGTTGGTAATGGAGCCTGATCCTTGGCTTCGCATTACCCCCACCTCTTCAGGCTTTTTCATTATAAAGAGGCCACCGTTAAAGATGTTTGGAACACCACCAACAGACTTTGTGATCTTAGACTTGGGAGGAACTTGAAGGATGCAGAGGCTATAGAGTGTGCAGATCTTAGCCTTAACCTAGACCCGATTGTACTCAACAACGAAGTAGTTCATCGACTCTAAAGTCAGATCTCTTAGAATCCTTCCAGTAACATATGGGAGCTCCATGTCCATGGTATACAAAAATATTACATTAACTAGCAGTGCAAACACCAAAATAGTTTGAAAAATCCAAGTGCAATAAGTATTATACTTTCAAGTTCAGTTATTCAACCTGTATAAAGTTCCCACCCCACCCATCTACATGCTATCCAAAATACCACATTTGGTCAAATTCCAGAAACTTGTAAGCTATTTGACATCTCGAATAGAATGCCGCTAAGAATTGATCCCATAACCTAAAAAACATACAAATACAAGGTTTGTCCAACCAACTCATGGTAGTTGAAGCCCTGATCAAGCTTTAATTATGTCACATATTGCAAGAACAGGAAATCAAGAACTGGAATTTCTCTATTTTATTCAAGAATTGGAACAATATCATAAGATATGCAAGACAACAATGGAAACTAAATACTAGTACAATATATCAACAAGACATTTTGTTGCTAAACCTAACAAATTAAACAGTATTATAATAGATACTATCATCTAAGCAGACTAGGAAACTAAATAAGGATAGTATAACAGCAAGCCAATAACAAAGAACAATGCTAAAAGACTATAATCAATCAAGATACAGCGAGAATATGAAATTCAAATATCTCTTTCTATTATATTTAACAGCGAATCATGAAACCTATGTGTGTATAAGAAATACAGCAATTAAATAAGTAATACTAGTAAATACCTGTGAGCTTTGAACTTCAGATTTGAATTTCGACAAATTGGCCTCCTGGATCATTTCAATCTATAAACATAACACGGCATCCAGTGAAAGGTTAGTAGGTTATAAACAAAACAAAAAATGGTAAAATGATAAATGTTATAGATGCTCATTTCATCAAGAACCTCATCTTGTTGCCATCATTGTACAATGATAACATTAGCTGAATTCAAGACATGTAAACATTGAGTACTTAGAAACTCACTTTCTGCATCTCCCCCTTTGAAACAAATGAATGAGATACATTTTCCAAGCTATCATTTAACACTTCGGTAATGGCATCTGTTATTGCTTCAGCTTGATTTGAGGGCACCCCTTGACCCTCCAATTTCCTAACCTGGAAGAAATGCATCAAATTCTCACTCCATCTTCATTCGGGTATCAAATATCCTCATGGGGAATCATATGTAGAAAAATACAAGTGATTCCAAATCTTTTACAACGCAAGCAATTTATAAGAACCAAAACAAAGATGTAACAAGAGCTGGGGGGGGGGGGGGGGG